CCCCCCCCCCCCCCCCCCAACGTTTTTGGGATTTTATTATCTCCTCTGTCTGGTAACCGGGAGGGGAAACAGCAACCTGCTTTTTAAGCAACCTTTGCAACCTGTTGCATTTCTTTTTTTATAACAAGCTATCAATAACCTGTTGCAGATTTTTTGTTTTTTAATAGAAAGCGATTGCTGGTTTGACCCCGCCACATCTGCTGGAGCATCGCATCTGCTCACAAACTCGCGCCTGGACTTGCAACCAAATCAAGCAGTTTGGCGGACTGGCAACCTGGTATATGCTACTGTTTGGACTAGCGATCTGTTGCGTTTATTCTTTAGATCCCTCGTTTTCTAAAAAAAAGGATCTGAACCTTGTTTGCACACCTTAAACTGCCACGGGAAAATTCCAGGAAACATTTTGGTCCTTTCTTTGTGGGAGAGGAGAAGCAGAGTGAAAAGAAGCGTGATTTGGGTTTTATTTTATTTTTCACTTTTAAACCTCTTTCTAAAATGCACTGCTATCTCTTGAGCGTGTTCCTTACCCTGGATCTGGCCACGGTGGCCTTTGCCCTCTCTACGTGCAGCACCCTCGACATGGACCAATTCATGCGTAAGCGGATTGAGGCGATCCGAGGCCAGATCCTGAGCAAGCTGAAACTCACCAGCCCTCCGGAAGAGTACCCAGAGCCTGAGGAGGTTCCTCCGGAGGTCATCTCAATCTACAACAGCACAAGGGACTTGCTGCAGGAGAAGGCGAACCACAGGGCAGCCTCTTGTGAAAAGGAGAGGAGTGATGAGGAATATTACGCCAAAGAAGTTTACAAAATTGACATGGGGATTTACCACCCGTCCGCAAGTAAGTCTTGTCTGAATCAGTGCGTGTGCCTGCGCCAGGTGGAGATTTGGGGTTGCTGGGTTGTATAATGTGTCTGACAGGATGTGGGGCATAGAGAGGTGTCTTCCCTGTTATCTTGAGACCTCAGGTGGGTACCTGGCCATTCAGGTCCCATAGAAATTGAGGGCAGCCCCTAAGAGTGTAATCCAGCTTTCCAACATCCCAGACCCCCTCCCCCACATCTTAAACATTGTAACAAGGGGTTTCCTCTGCAAAAGGCAGGATGTTGACATATCCACCTCCCCATTTTATTTCTGCAATACTGGAACAGCACAGAATAGCTAGCAACATTATTCCTCAGGGTGAAAATCCAAGGAGGTGTGCTAAGGTTTCATCACTGAGGCTTAATTAGAAATCAGGCTCTATTAGGATGTAAACCCTGGGAATGTTTTGAGCAGGAAGTAAGAAGGGACCTCTGTGCCTCTGAGCATCTGCAGAGCCCCTGTCTTTTGCCCTTCTGTGACAACTAAACTCTACACATCTGAAGTAAGCACATGTAAAGGCTTCAAGATAGAGAGCACAACTCCAAATTGGGCATTGCCTCTCCGGAATGTCCCCTCTCAGAGTACATAAAGCTTCTGGCAAAGGGTACATAACACCCCACCCCAGTTTGGCCAGGGCTGGTGTCTTCAATGAGCAGATATATCTGTAAGCCTCCTTTTACTGGCTCTCTCCTGTCATTCTTCCCTGTGTAATATTTCTTCATATTCCTTCAGGTGGGAATGCTAGCTCCCCAGCGCCTTCTCCCTAGATACCCTCCACCTCACCACTTCAGCTGACTCTGCTGCTAGCCCTGGATCTTTCACAGTGAGCACCAGGCTCAACAAACCTGACAAATGGGATTAGTTTACTCGTTAAGCACCCTCTGCCTCCCTGCTGGCCCACCCCCAACATCCTTCCCAGTTGCCTTATCAGCTTCCTATCTCTTGTTCCTATCCTGTTCTCTACCCACTGCTGGCTTAACTTGGAATTGAGCAGGATTTTCAGTGCACCATGGGGATGGGGGTCAGGAGTGGGGAGAATGGGGAGAAACAAGTATTATCTCTGGCCCTCACACCAAGTTTCCCTTGCTTGCCAAAAATTTGTCTGATCCTGGAAGTTCCATTCTAGGTTTCTTTTTCAGCTTAATAGTCCATCACATTTGTGGTCATCTTCTCTCCAGGTACAAAATAAACCTCCCTCCAACAATCTTTTTTTAGAAGCCAGCTTCCTGGACACAGCCTGGGAATGTTTCAG